CCTCTCTTCCCCCTCTTCCTCTCTCCCTCTCTCCCCACCCCACCCCCGCCACCCTTCCCCCATCTGTTAAACACAGAAGACGCAGAATTGCAGAACTGCAGGTCAGAGGATTATTTTAAGTTTCTGAAAGGATAACCCAAACATAGGATAGGCTTTATGACCAAAGTTTGTGCTCCTTTTGTGTCAATACATAAAATCGAAAGAAACATTTTTTAAATAAACCTTATGAAATGTAGTCAGCTTTATGTGGCCTGTCTGAATCAGTACTGGTTAGTGGGATGCTAAGGCACCCTTTCGTACCACCCTCCATCACCCAACTTCATCTTCTTTTAAAGAGACTGCAGCAGGCCAGACACGGTGACTCGGCCTGTAATCCCAGCACTTTGGGAGGCTGAGGTGAGAGGACTGCCTGAGCCTAGGGGTTCGAGATCAGCCTGAGCAACTTGGTGAGACCTCGTCTCTACATTAAGTTCCAAAAAAACTAGCCAGGTGTGGTGGCATGCATCTGTAGTTCCAGCTACTTGAAAAGCTGAGACGGAAGGATCGCCTAAGTCCAGCAGATCAAGGCTGTGGTGGCCATGAGCATGTCACTGCACTCCAGCCTGGGCAACAAAGAGTGAGACTCCAACTCAAAAAAATAAATAAAGAGACCACAACACATCAGAGCTAACATTGCCAATGCTGTATTATAATGCTAGATATGATCAGTAAATTGGGGGATAAAGCTTTGTGGAACGTTTGTATGGAAAATAGTAATGGAGTTTTTGTTTTATTTTATGTTGAATTTGTTCTAAATGGCTTCACTGAAGTATTTAATATCATGTCTTTTTTACTTTCTATTTTTAGCATTTTGTCACTGATGTATTGCAGAAGAATTGCTCAAGATATGCTTTTAGGTTTATACAAGGAGGTTATTTAAATGAACATTATAAACAAAGAGGTTATGTAGTGTATAAGTGGATAAAACCAAACATTTGCTTAATAACAGCCTTCAATGAATCTATAAACTAATAGTCAGTTATAGTCTCTGACCCTGCTAGGAAATGTGTTTAAACTAAAGCGTTAAGGTTTTAGGCTTGACAAGTAAGTTTCCTAAGGAGTGTAGAGAAGTTACCTGGGAAGGACTTTGTTAGGAATATGTGAGATGGCTTTCCCTGGAAGTTGTTAGAGCCGGCTTGGTTTTTTGTTAGCTTGGAGAGGGTATCCTCTCAAGGTTCTCTTCATAGGATTTTATTTTAGCTTTTTAACGTTTGCACTTAGAGAGGCAAGCATTTGAATATTTTTCCTTTGCTATTTAAACTCTTGACTTTAATACACTGCTGTACTTCCCATGATCACATAGTACAGTTCTTGATAATGATGTGCTTGCTTATTTATCTGCTAACTACTTTTTGACTCTACCCCATGGTGCATTCTTTGCTGAAAAGAAGCAAGTTCTGACTCTTGACTCAGATACTTAAATACAGGAATTTTAGCCTTGTCATCTCTCATTGTTATTACCAGTTAGGCCCAGATAAGGAAGGAGGACTTTCAAAAAAATACCAAGTATTTTAGATTGCTCTGTACTGGCTCAATAAGCATCACACCACATTTCTAAATATATTTTTAAGTGCGTTAGATGCAGTTTCTGTAGGGTATCCCAGCCAAATATAAAATTTGAAGAAAGCTCCGTTGTAGAACTCCTGTTTAAAGGCTCTTGAACCGGGCGTGGTGGCTTAAACCTGTAATCCCAGCACTTTGGGAGGCCAAAGTGAGAGTATTGCCCGAGCCCGTAGGTTCAAGACCAACCTGGGCAACATGGTGAGACCTTGTCTCTACAATAAGTCAAAAAATTAGCCAGGCGTGGTAGTGCACGCCTATAGTTCCAGCTACTTGGAAGGCTGAGGTGAAAGGATCTCCTGAGCCCAGCAGGTCAACACTGGGGTGGCCGTGAGTGTGCCACTACACTCCAGCCTGGGTGATGGAGTGAGACTCCAACTCAAAAAAACAACAAACAAACAATAAAATAAAGGTTCTTGAATTCCTTATAAAATATTTTGATGACATAGCTAGATGAAAATAGGCCTTGATGATGCAGTTTCAGGTAAACGATTTCTTCAAGAATCATATGTGGTTATATGTGTCTTTTGAGGGCTGTTAGTGTGCATTATTTCAAGAGGAGAGAAGTGAAGGTTGGGAGTGGAGGGAAAATACATCTGTTTAACTGTGGACTTTATTTATCTAGCCTGCTATTTCTCTCTAGTATTTGGCTTCCCTCAAAAATAAACTGAACTTCATAATATACTTAGATGTCCAGTCAAAGGTTGAATACTGAAGTCTACCTCAAATTAATCATTTCTTAGTGAAAAAAGATTCTAGCCTTTATTCAGTTGTTCTTATTTCTATGAATATTGTCCTTGATAATCTCTTTGTATATAAATAGAAAACCAATTGACTTATTGTGACTTATTACCAGCTTTCACTGAGGTGAAACATGAATTACATCATCTTTTTTGCTGATGTCCTGAATATATATGTTAGAAACTGGTCATTACTAGTTTCTAGATTATTGTTTCCAAGGCCAGATGTTTTAAAGTTCTCAATAAAACTCAATGAAGAATGGGAGGCTTCCAAATCTGAAAATTGTTCCTACTTTTGCCAGCTAAACTGCCTCATTTGCTTTTCTTTCCAAAAGTTGATAACCCTTCCTATAGCTTGAACACAGGGAGCTTCCATTATTAATATTCACTCTTCATTTATATGGTTGTATATGGTTTTTGCTTTGTACTAAATGAAAACTTGGCAGAGTTTCCAAGCTCATATATGAGACTCCACCCCTTTTCTATCCAAATACTTGTTTGAGACAGGGTCACTGCAGGCAGGAAAAACTACTTTTTCTCCCTTTAGAAGCCTTTCATCTGAGAGGTCCCTTCTTTCCCTCTGCACTCATTTCTCCTGGGTGAATGTTCACTGCCATTGGTATAGACTCAGCTCAATAGCTTAGCAAAAGCAAAGATACTTTTTCAAAATCAGCTTCTGAATGTTCTTCTAGCTGATGGCAGAGTGACACCCTCTCTCAGAAGAGGTTTGTTGGTCTTCCTTTACCTATCACTTTGAGCATAGGGGTGGGAAACGCCATAGTATTGTAAGGTGGGAAAAAACTTTTCCTCTCTCCTCTTAGGTTCATGAATAAGGCCTGCAAATTAAACTGAGAAAAGATTCACAGGAGAAAAAAATTATAAGTTTGATTGATGTTAATTCTTAAATTTTGTATGCACAGGGGCCTCACCAAAAAAAAAAAGTGAAACTGAAAGAGGCAGTTAGTCTTGAAAGCTTGTGTACCATTTTAACAAAGGGAGATAAATTGTGGAAAAGTGACTAGACAAAGGATAAAGGATTTGGGCTTCTAGGGGTGGTAAATTATGGCAAGATAAATATATAGGGAAACTAATGGTAGATAAAGGTTATTTTACTAAAGTTTGTGCAGATCATCTCGGTGCCAACATTTTCCTTCTTGACCATAAAACTCCCTCAGAGAGGGAGTTTATGGCAGTTCTCATTTTTCAGAAGTTTCTGCTTTTAGTCAGATAAAGGAAGCTCCAAGATTTCTTTCTCCATCTGTTGATTATCAGTTTGCAGCTTAAAATAATCTATATGCCAAAGTGGCATATTTTGGGGATGGTTATTCTGATCCCCTTTTGTATTTAGAGAGGAAAATGTAGAGAAAAGAGCATTGATCTAGTGACTCTGCCATCAACAAACAGAGGAACATTAGGCATGGCATTTCACATTGCCTGAGACCTCAGTTTCATTATTTAGAAAAAAAAGCAATTGGATTATATGATCTCTAAGGATTTATACTGCTGCAAAAATACTTGATTGTTGTTCTTAAGGTCCTTGAATGTAGTTACTCTTGGTTACATATAGTTTACACTTCTCTTTCAAGAAAATGTAGACCTAGGATTTTCCAGTGTATGTGAAATTTCTGGCACCAACTTTAAAGTCCTAATTCTGACTGACCAATCCTAACATTGACTGAAGGGAATGTGTTTGAGGGAGATCTTGGGAGGGTTGGCTTGCAGCAAGTTGAAAGACCCAGGAAATGTTTGTTGCTATTTCAAGATCTGGTTATTTTTCTGTTATCTGGCTCATGTTTCCCAAGCAACTTATCATAATTTCTGGCGTAACCACTAAATCTGAGTTAGCCCAATTCCCAGGTTTATTCAGTGTGAATTAAAATCCTCCTTTCATTGTTATACTCCAGGGTGCTCTAAAGACTGCCTAGACTTTGAAATCAGCCAGAGCTGGGAGTTTACAATCTGACTCTTCCTCTTGTGATTTTTTTATTTTTTATTTTTTGAATATAGGTTAATCTCTCTGTGCCTCAGAGTCCTCATCTATAAAACAGTGGTACTTAAGTGCCTACCTTTAAAAAATAGAGGGCTGGGCGTGGTGGCTCAGCCTTTAATCCCCAGCACTTTGGGAGGTCGAGGTAAGAGGATTGCCTGAGCCCAGGGGTTTCAAGACCAACCTGGGCAACTTGGTGAGGCCGCGTCTCTACAATAAATCACAAAAACTAGCCGGGCATGGTGGTGTACATCTGTAGTTCCAGCTACTTGGAAGGCTGAGGCGGAAGGATTGCCTAAGCCCAGCAGGTCAAGGTTGTGGTAGCCATGAGCGTGCCACTGTACTCCTCCAGCCTGGGCTACAAGAGTGAGACTCCAACTCAAAACAAAACAAAAATAGGATCAAACGAAATGACAGATGGGAAGAGCTTCTCATGTGCCTTTTAATGGGAATGCCTGACATTTATATACTTTTTTATCATTTATGAAAGACTGTCATAAAAGCAGTTTCATTTAGGATTTTGGGTGGATTTGCTTTGCTGGGTAAAGGATCACTTAAACATTAAGGCCTGAGCTGGGCTTGCTGGGATGGGATCCTAGGAGCTTGGTCAGGCCAGATGCAGAAACTTGTCTATTTTGAGGGTCCTCTCTAAAACATCCCTTTATGTTTTCCAGGAATCTGAATATCTGTGTTTGGAATTTGATGAGGTCAAGGTCAACCAAGTTCTGAAGAAGCTCTCAGAGGTAGAAGAAAGTATCAGCACACTGATGCAGCCAGCCTAACTGAAGATAATGTAGGAAGGAGTTGGAGTTGTTGAAACAGAGGTGTTCATCATCCCTCCCCACTGACCTTTTAAAAAACATTTTTGTTCCCCTGTTGGTATTAAATCCTCAAATTCAATCTTGCCTGCCTCTGCCTGCTGAGATTTCTTTCTCTATCCTTTTCATTTACTCTTGCTGTTGTTCCAGTGCAGAGAGGTTCTCAGGCTTCAGCATTCATAAAGAGTACTTGTTAAAGCATTTACATTTTTTTTCTTTAATTAAAGGCAGGCTTCCAGGGCCCTATCCCCTAAGACTTGGATTCAATAAGACTGGGATGGGTGGGATGGACTCTGGAAACCCTTGCTATGGTGGATTGTTCCTGGGTGAGATTTTAGGAATTTATACATGATAAATCATGCAAAAATTATTAGTAAAGGAGAAAAAAATTTTAGTCATGCAAATACATGGCTAACCAAAGTGCCATGTGTCCTGAGCTGAGACATAGAGGAACCTACCTAACCTAGAAAAGATACACCTGACCCTACTGAAAACTGAGATGCTTCTGGAATTGATTTGGGTATTTGAATTTGTTCTCCCTAAATCTGAGGGGTCTGGTTTGATCTGAACTGAGGGATTCAGGCTTTTCTAGAATCTAGAACTAAACTGACCTCACAATAAAGGGACTCCTTTCACTTGCCTTAAGTCAGAATTATGGGGAAGGGAAAATGTCTGCTGAGGTGAAATGAGGCCTTTTACCTAAAACATTTTTAACTGAGGCATCAAATAAAACCTATTCCAGAAAATTTCGTTGAGAAAAATTATGTTCTAGTAGAGAATTTACCAAACACCAGGAATATTCCAAAAGGAGGAGGCTGCCAACCAGTATGTGGAGGCTGTGGCCCTTGCTGAGCAGGTTTTGTCATCTGATACTGATAATATTTAGAAACCCCAGATGCCTTTGGGATATAATATGTTCAAAAAATGTGGTTCTCTTGGTCTGTGGTTACAGCCTATGTCAGTTCTAATGAGTTTACTTCAGGGCAGGAATAAGTTCTCTTCTGTTCAGCAGTTTGTCCTAAATCAGTTTGGAGACATTTCAGGAGCTTTTCCAACACCCAAGCTGAAATTATTGGCTTCTTCCCTGATTAAAACCATCTCCCAGCAGTTAGTAGACAATAACCAGAAGGGTTTAAATGTAGCCCCTGTGAGCCCTTCAGAAAACATCTTGAGACAGTATTGTGAATAGATTCAGGAAAGGCATGTAGTTTGGCCAAAAAAAACTATTAAAACCTGCTTTCTGTTTCCAGGGGTACTGCCATGTAATCCTGGAGAATTTAGATAATGTCTCCTGCTGTACAATGGAGGAAAAGAATATCTCATCAGATAATGGGATTCCAGATGTCCTTGGAAGAAAGAACTATAGCTACCAAATTAGTATTCACTCACGTTTCCCATGAAAGTCTGTGGAAGCGTGAAGGAACAGTCTTATAGGCCACAGGGAGAGGAAATCATTGTCATAGTTTGACATTCTGTTTAGGTCACCCTATGAAAATAACAGCCACAGAAGTGGGAATGGTGGTGGCTCACACCTGTAATCCCAGCACTTTAGGAGGCAGAGGTGAGAGGATTGCCTGAGTCTAGGGGTTCAAGAACAGCCTGGACAACTTGATAAGACCTCATCTCTACAATAAATTAAAAAATTAGCCAGGCATGGAGCATGGACCAGTAGTCCTAGGTACTTGGAAGGCTGAAGCAGAAGGATCGCCTGAGCCCAACAGGTCAAGGCTACAGTGGCCGTGAGTGTGCCACTGCACTCCAGCCTGGATGACAGAGTGAGACTCCAACTCGAAAAAAAAAGTGGGCGTGGGCTTTTTTTATTATATCCTCAAACCCTAGGTCATTGGAAAAACTATAGTTAATGTATACTGAGTTTTCCAGACTTAAAAACAAAAAGCTGCTTGCTGAAAGTAGTCCCCACATTTAACACTAAACACTGTTGAATGCAAGTTGTTTTGAACAGGGTATGTTTTATATTTACTGATGATTTTTAAATTTTTTAATCAAAGGTGTATATGTTTATTATAATCTGTTATGAAAATACAAGAAGATACTAAGAATAGTTAATGACCCATCACCCTAACATACAGAGAAAACAAAAAGAGGGCCGGAACTAGAAGAGTTGGCTTTCCTTGAATAAATTACTGGAAATGGGCCAGGCATAGTGGCTCATGCTTATAATCCCAGCACTCTGGGAGACTGAGGCCGGAGGATCACTTGAGACCAGGAGTTCAAAGACCAGCCTAGGTAGCATAACGAGACCTCATTTCTACAAAAAATTATCCAGGAGTGGTGGTGCTTGCCTATAGTCCCAGCTCCTCAGGAGACTGAGGCAGGAGGATTGCCTGAGCACAGGGTGTTGAATCTGCAGTGAGCTGTTATCATTCCACTGCACTCTAGTTTGGGCAACAGGTGAGACCCTGACTCAAATAAAAAATAAAATAACTCCTAGAAGTAGAATACATGGTTCTTGGCTTTGATAAGCGTTGCCAAATTGCTTTCCAGAAAGATTATATTCATTTATATTCCCTCTAAGAAAGTATAAGACAAAATTACCTCCCTTTTTTGCCTAATTGAATATCATGTTTTCTGGGACTAAATTGTTTTTATAAATTTTTGTAAGGGACACTTATAAGGTCTGACAATTAAGTTTGTGAACTTGCCACTGTGCCCTTATGTTGGCAGCACTGTACAAACATCTCGGTAAGGTTTCATAACCTTGGTATATCAGTGTCTCACAGCTGTATTTGTGTCAATGTGTGGCGATGTCTTGGTGAGTGGCATTCATTATTGTTGTTGCATCTTTTTGTGTGCTGTCATGAGGATGTTGAAACTTGAATTAGAGCAATTAACAAATATTAAATTTCTTGTTAAACTTGGCAAGAGTGGATGTGAAATCAGAGACATGTTAGTTCAAGTTTATGGGGATAATGCTATGAGGAAAGTGGCAGAGTACAAATGGATTAAACATTTTTCTGAGTGAAGAGAAAGCGTCACTGATGAATAGGTCAGGATGGCCAGTAATGAGCAGGACCAACAAAACTGTTGCAAAAATTCATTAAATTGTGCATCAAAAATCGTCAGCTGACGGCAAGAAGCACAGCAGACCAAATAAGCATCAATAGAGAAACAGGAAAATCTTAACTGAAAATCTTGGCATAAGAAAGGTATGTGCAACAATGGTCCCGAAGGAGCTCTTTTTTTTTTTTTTTTTTTTTTTTTTGAGTTGGAGTCTCACTGTCACCCAAACTGGAGTGCAGTGGCTGCTCCCGGCCACCGCAGCCTTGACCTGCTGGGCTCCGGCGATCCTTCCGCCTCAGCCTTCCGAGTAGCCGGAATTACAGGCATGCGCTACCACGCCCGGCTGATTTTTGATTTATTGTAGAGATGAGGTCTCACTGCCCAGGCGGGTCTTGAACCCGCGGGCTCAGGCAATCCACTCACCTCAGCCTCCCAAAGGCGCGCGGGATTACAGGCTGCGCCCGGCTCCGAAGGAGCTCTTATATCATGACAACGTGTCAGCTCACATAGCCACTGTCTGTGAGGGAGTTTTTAAGCCAGTAAACAAATAAGCGTATTAGAACACCCTCCCTACTCACCTGATCTGGCCCCAGTAACTTTTTCTTTACCCAAAGATAAAGGAAATATTGAAAGAAAGACATTTTTATGACATTCAGGACATCAAGGGTGATACGATGACAGCTCTGATAGCCATTCCAGAAAAAGAGTTCAAAAATTGCTTTGACAGGTAAGCTAGGCATTGGCGTCAGTGCATAGCTTCCCCAAAGGGGGTACCTCGAAGGTGACTATAGCGATATTCAGTAATGTAGCAATTTTTCTAGGATGAGTTTACGAACTTAATTGTCAGACCTTGACTGTAAACCAGGACATTTTCCTATGACAATGCAAGCATGGAGAAATGACCCCCCAGGGAAGGAGAAAACTGGCATAAGGGTCCCAAAGACCCCACTAGGTTTTATGCCTCTGTGATCCTAGATTAAAACCACTTTGTTGCCAGGCTCGGTGGCTCAGCCTGTAATCCCACGCCTTGGGAGGCTGAGGTGAGTGGATTGCCTGAACCTGTGGGTTTGAGACCCGCCCGGGCAACTTGGCAAGACCTCATCTCTACAATAAATCAAAAAAATCAGCCGGGTGTGGTAGCACACGCCTGTAGTTCCAGCTACTTGGAAGGCTGAGGCGGAAGGATCGCCAGAGCCCAGCAGGACGAGGCTGAGGTGGCCGGGAGTGGCCACTGCACTCCAGTCTGGGCAACCGAGTGAAACTTCAACTCAAAAAACAAACAAACAAACAAACAAAACCACTTTGTTTTGATTTCAGGAAATTTGGGACCAATGAAAATAATTCTCAACCTGAACCAGGCCTTGTAGAAGTTATCCCTGCTTGAACAATAGGCACTCTAACTTCAGTCTGTTTAGAAACAATCCAGCCAAACCAAAATAGCTTCCAGAATAAAGTCAGAAAGTATCACCAGACTTCAGTAGTTTCATGTTGATAAGAAACAAAGAATTGGCTGGGCTCGGTGGCTCAGCCTGTAATTCCAGCACTTTGGGAGGCTGAGGTGAGTGGATTGCCTGAGCCTGTGGGTTCGAGACCAGCCCGGCCAACTTGGCGAGACCTCATCTCTACAATAAATAAAAAATTAGCCAGGCGTGGTAGCGCATACCTGTGGTTCTGGCTACTTGCATGCTAAGGCGGAAGGATCACCGGAGCCCAGATGATCGAGGCTGCACTCCAGCCTGGGCGAGGGAGTGAGACTCCAACTCAAAAAAAAAAAAAAAAGAAAGAAACAAAGAATTGTGCCTTATTCTTAGGTCTGGTTTCCTTGGAAGTTTTAGTTACCAGCTTTATCAGTGAAGGCCTACATTTCACCATTATAGCTCTTTTTTCCTTTATATAATGTCTTTTCTTGGTTTTATTTTAATAATGATTCAAAAAGAGTTTTAGCATTGAAAAAATTTAGTGTAACTATCCTCCCCCAAATGCAAGAAGGCAGAGAAAAGGATGACACCGAGTATCTGAAATCTTAAATAGCTGACATTGTGTCAAGCTATTAATAATTGAAGTTCTTTTTT